AAAGGTAAGAATGACTTCCTAACTGTATAAAGTCATTCTCGTTGTCCTCCTAACTGCACATCAACTCAGAGATAAAAAAGAAAGAAAGCAGTAAAATAAAAAAGCCAGGTGTAGTGGCTCATGCCCATAACCCCAGTATTTTGGGAGGCCAAGGCCAAGGCAGGAGAATTGCTTGAGATCAGTTCAATAGCAGCCAGGGCAACACAGCAAGGCCCTGTCTCACAAACAAAACAAAACAAAACAGTATGGGCGCAGTGGCTGTCTGTGATCCCAGCACTTTGGGAGTCGGAGGCCGGAGAATCACTTAAACCTGGGAGGAGGAGGCTGCAGTGAGCCAAGATTGTGCCACTGCATTCCAGCATGAGGGACAGAGTGAGACTCCCTCTTCTCAAAAACCAAAAAACCAAAAAACAAAAAACAACAACAAAGCAAATTAGCCAGGCATGTTGGCATGCACCTATAGAAGGCTGAGGTGGGAGGAATCCTTGAGCCCAGGAGTTTGAGGCTACAGTGAGCTAGGATTCCATCACTGCACTCCAGCCTGGAGAGACCCCAACTCTGTAAAACAAAAGAGAGAGAGAGAGAGAGAAAGTAAAGTGGGGCTCTCAGATGGAATTATTTTGCCTCTCTCCAAAAGCAAGATGGCACAGACTTTACTTTCTATAGTCCTACCTGCTCAAAGACCCTGTATTATTCCTTGCAATAAGAGAAGGTAAAGCTTCCAAGGGTATGACTCTTTTGCTCCAAAACTATTGGAGCAAAATTTTCCAATTACATTGTTAAAAATTAAGAACAATGCTTTATTACACCTGATATATTAACATCTTAACGACTATATGAATTGACAGTCTGGAAAGCACATTGTCACACTGCAGAATTCAGACCTTATGGCTTTCCTCTTGCCTTTTACTTCTGAATCTCAACAGTATATTATTTTGTTTCATGCTATAATAAACACCAAAGCAGCTAAGTTAAAAACGTTTATCCTGTAAAAAGTCTCAGCTAAGGTGCTTTATCAAATCAAAAGGCATACATATAATTTTATTCATCCTTTTGTTACAACCTGTATCTCCTTCTCCATCTTTGTTTACCGATGAAGCTACACATATATTATCCTACAATCACATATATTATCCTACATGAATTAATGCAGGAACAGAAACCCAAATACCGCATGTTCTTGTTAAGAGAGAGCTAGACACTGAGTACACATGGACACAAAGAAGGGAACAGACACCAGGGCCTACTTGAGGGTGGAAGGCGAGAGGAGGTAATGATTGCAAAAAAAAAAACCTATAGGCCAGGCGTGGTGGCTCACTCCTGTAACCCCAGCACTTTGGGAGGCTGAGGCCAGAGGATCGCTTGAGCCCAGGAGTTTGGGACCGCCTGGGCAACACAGTGAGAAGAGAAGAGAGGAAGAGGAAGAGAAGAGAAGAGGAGGGAGGGGAG